CTAATGATCACTCCCACTGATCAAACCATTACTCCCACTAATAAAGTTATTCTTGAGCATAAATGATATACACACTAATGATCCTCAAGTCCAACTAATTTAACAAGGATTATAATTTCCCACCATAGTTGGACATGTTAAATATGTACATGTAACAGACACAATTTCCAACTACTTAAACAAATTAAATTGCTTTAGTTGAAATTTAGCTAGATATGTGCAATTCCAATATAAGGATCCAAAGGGTATATCATGTCCAAATTCAAAGGCTCTACTGTGGTTGGGCTGAAAAACCAAGTAAGGCAGATATAGTAACAATTTCAAGTTACTAAAGTTTTGGAGTTTTAATAAAATACATGTGTTGCCAATGCAACTCATGTGACATAGAATTATAACTAGCCTTAAAGTTATAAATTCTAAAATTGGTATGATAAAATTTTATCTTGTTCATCAATTTAAACAGAAGAATCTAATGTCATAAAACTTGCATGTAGGCTAAAGATTTATTCAATTAGACTCAACTGAGACTTTATGAGAATCAAATAGAAGAATTTAGTGACACAAAACTTGCCTATGGGCTAAAGTTTTGTTCAATTAGACTCAACTAAAACTTTACGATAAAATTATTATCAAAGTGATAGAAGAATCTAATGACATAAAAGTTGTCTGTGGGCTAAAGTTTTATTCAATTAGATCCATCTACAACTTTATGATAAAACTATCAAACCATGTTCCTTTTCTTAATCCCTGTGGGTAAATTAAGAAATATGATTCGATATTTTAATCTGACTAATTACATAAATATATTTTATGTAATTAGTCACAAAGTGATCAAAAACTTAACAATTTTAGTTATGAAATTGTATTGATCACTTGATATTTGTACACAAAAGAGTATTAATGTACTAAGCTATTAATCCAATTTTAATTTCATGCATAATAAATACACATAAAAGAAACTAGACCAATACCACAAAATGTACACATAAAAATACTCTTTGAATATGTACATATATCATAACTTTATGATAGAAGACGCCAATTTATTTATATTATAACCATATGTTAAATAAATTGACTTTCCTATCTGTAATGATAAAACTCACCAAAACTATATTCCGATACGTAATTGCCTGTGGGCTAAATTACGATCATAGTTTGGTGTTTTTACCCTAATTAATTATATAAACATAACAAAATTGCCTGTGGGCTAAATTTTATTATATCATATAATTAATCACAATCAATACATCTATGACTGTATGTGATCTCCCAAAATTTCAATTAATCAAAGATATCGTAGCTACTACTGCTACTACTTAATTAATCAAAATTATAAGATCACTAGAAGATTTTCTTAATATCTTAGGCATCAACTTTAAAGCCTAAAAACAATTACGCCACAATATGATAAACAATTCCAAGTATACTCCCAGCAAAGTTGGTTGGGACAGAGCCTCATTAAAAATAACCAACTCCTTAGACAGAGTAATGTTTCAAGGGAACTAATAGCACATTGGCCCCTTCCCGAGAAACTTTTCACCGATTCATGTTTTCTCACACTAAAGGCATAATTGACGAGCAATCTTTCCAAATCTTTAATAGTCCGCCTATGGAAAGACTTTTAATCTCAAGTGAACATTCTAAACGGTCTAAAGGTGCTTAAACATAATGCACAACCGTTTATTATTCCACACACAAGGTTCACCTTAACAAGGAATTATTATAATTCCTAACTTATGCAATTCCAAAGGCTTAATTAAATTCACATAATTAGAAAATATATTGTTATGCTAGTGAACAATTATATGTGAAATTCAATATGCTCATATCGAAATAAATTGTACATCATAATAACAATTTAAAATGAGCTATAAAATTATTATTCCAAATAACAACATAAATCCAAAACTTGAAGGATTATAAAATTTGAATAATAATTTATAATAACCATATACTTTTCAATTATTGAAAAGTTTTAACTTGTAGGCTCAATACAAAAAAGATTCAATGCATATAGTAAACTTTATGAGAACTAGCTTAAAATTGTAAATTCTAACCATATCAAAACCATATGATATTGACATTTACGAATTAAATTCTCACAAAACTAAATTGCATAATTTAAACAATAATATTATGCACTTAATTTAATTATATGCATAAAACAAACTCAAAAAAAAATATGAATATAAAATCAAATATTCATAATTAATCAAAATGGGCATTACAATCCAAAAACAATAATGATAACAATATCATATTTAACACATATGTTTTGGATCAAGAATGAAATAGTTTCAAAATTATGATTTCAAATCATACTATCAAAATCCAAACCAAATGATGATAGTAACGGCACAAAACATTGATCCATCGGTTCAAAAACCAATAATCGTTATTACTATAATAATTCTAATAATTATTACATAACAGTAATAACGGCATAATCAATTTTCTTAATTGTAACCGAACAACATTTAATTATAATAATGATAATCATCATTATTATTAAATGTTACATAATATCATCATTATTACTATATAGGTTTTGGACAAGCTAAGCAAATTCAAATGAATTTCAAAATATGATTCTTAACATCATAATCTAAAACATTATGGCAAGACTAAAAAGGAAAAAAATATCCAATTGCCATAAACATATGCATTTTCCAAAATTGTGATTCAAAATCACACTCCATAATTAAAAATATTATTATTGAATTATGACAAAGTTGCAAAAATCTGAAATTGCAATGAATAATCATAATAATCACATAATATTATAACAATTAGGAGATATAATATGGAAAAACAATTGCTAACACCACAAACATTTAAAACATTTTTCGGGAAAATTTTAAAACTTAATAAATTTAAAATTCGAAAAACATTAATGTCGAAAAATATAATATCCAACATTTTCAACTTTAATAAACTGATAAAAAGGCATAAAAAAGGTTCTTGACAAACTTTATGACCTTACTAATTACCATAATAATGATTATAAAGGCAAACAATTGCAACAATCGCCAAACATCTCAATATATCATCCAATCATGGCAATTAGTCAGAAAGTATAGCAATTTATCTTTATCGCAAATAATATACCAATATATGATAACAATAGGCATTTAACCATCCACATTAAGTTAATTACCATTAATATTACCATTAAAATATCATTCAATAATGATGGAATCCATACTTTATTGACCCAAGATAGGTCCCAAATAGCTGGTTCAAAATAGGTTAAAAAACCCCAAATGAAAATAGGACTAAAATATGCTCAAAATTAAATGAGAAACCAAACAAGTTGTCTTAATAGGCTATAATATCCAAAATTAGCCTAAGGATCCAAAAATGAATAAAATCGAATATAAAAACTATGAGTTAATAATATGTTATATCCAATCTTAATATGTTTTTCTAAATGTACAATTATAGTCAAATAATTTATGAATATACAAAGCATGCTTGGATTTTGCATATTAATATAATATTAACTCATAAATCATGAAAAAAAAATTGCAAACACTTCAGACAATTTACTCTAATTCTCAATATTAAATTAAAATTCAAATAGCAAATTTAAATCTTAATATTTGCCCATAATTGAATAATAATTTAATTATGAACTTTAATGTCAAAATTAAGAGGAATTGAAATGCATCAATAATTCCAAAAACAAGCAATTACCAAACATTTACCATTTGCCAAAATAATATACAATATAATATAATATTAATTAAGGTAACATAATATGGTAATATTAACCTAAATTATTACCATTTACCAAAATTAATATATATATATATATATATATATATATATATATATATATATATATATATATAATATTTAATTAGGCAAATACTAATATGGTAAAATAACAAAATAATTGCGTATGGCAGTGCTCCGTCTTTTTCGTGATAGCAGTACGGCAGTGCTCCTTCGTCTTCTTCGTGATAGCCTTGTCGCCACCCATGATGTTGCTTACTCGGCGCTGCACTCCTGGAAACTGACGGTGACTGTCAGGACGTGAGAGACGACCGTCGTCACCACTGCCTCCCTTCATCGGAGCACGGTCACCGGTAGCATCAACATAAACTAGGAGCGCCGAAGGAGAGAGACGGTACTGGATGGAAAGGTAGAAAGCAAAACCGACCGGATCTGATGGAGCAGGAACAACACCGCTCGCCACCACCACCGGGAACCCAGTTTCCCCACCCCTCCTATGTCTTCTCTCAGCCGCACCTCCGCGACCACCTTTGTCTCTCCGAAGCTAGTGATCTTTCACCTTGATGTCACTCTGGGTTTCAAGAGACCAATCACAAGAAACGTAGCGCCCAAAGAGCTTATGGCAACCCTTATCGCCCCATCGCCTGATTCTAAATGCTACTCAACGTCCGGCCAACATGTTGGACGGCAGCTTAGCGACGATGGTGAGCAGTAAAATTATGCTACTCTTCATTGAATCCGGCAAAAATTCTGGCCAAAGGTAATAGTATTTCGACAATAGAGATGTATATTTTCTAAAGATTACCTTCTCAAAAATTGTCATGATAACAAACATAACATGCATACAATAACATGAATATATACATATGTACTATTAGGACTCTATGTATATGAGTCTGTTTAGAACTTCTTATCCTTGTCACACTGTGACTCTCTACTTCTTATCATTGTCACACTGTGACTCTCTATTCTATATATTCACATCATCTGATCTCATTGTAATTAAGTTCAGTAAATACAATACTATCAGTTCTCAATTGGTATCAGTAAGCTAGGGTTTTTTCTTTGTCTCTCGTCCTATGGCTGACGGATCTGTTAATTCCTCCGGACGGACCGTGTCTGATACTGCTATGTCATCAAGTTCGTCGTCAATTGTGTCGCTATCCACCGCACATCATTTCATCAGTACGAAGTTAACCTACAAGAATTATTTGTTCTGGCGTACGCAAGTCGTCCCGTTTCTTCACGGGCATGACCTAATGGGGTTTGTTGATGGTACGAAACCCTCACCGGCTGTTCTTCTTGCTGCCGACGCCAACACCGCCGACGCCATGCCACGGCCGAATCCCGCCTATGCCGTTTGGATGCGTCAAGATAAAGCATTGTTGTCCATGCTTGTCTCCTCCCTCTCCGACGAGGTCATGCCAATCGCCGTCTGACGTCGCACGAGTCGTGCCCTTTGGGAGGCCATTGTTCAGACGTTGTCGTATTCCTCCCGCGCCCGCGCGTTAAACCTTCTCAGCCAGTTGCAAGGACTGGACCAGGGTGATTCTTCGGTTGCGGATTACATCGGGCGAGCTCAGGTGATTGTTGAAGAGCTCACCCTCGCCGGCCGCGTCGTCTCCCTCGACGATCAGAATCTCTTTGTTTTTCGCGGTTTGAGACCGGAATTCTGTGCCCTCACTGCGTCTCTTGCCGTCCGTGGGCAGCCGGTCACGCTCCAGGAGTTGGCGGACTTCCTCGGTGCCCAGGAATTTATCGCCAGCCGTGATTACGGCGGTGCTCCGACGGCTCTTGCTGTTCAGCGCGGTGGCGGCCGATCAGGTCGCGGAGATCAGAACCGTGGCGGCGGTCAACGAGCAGGCGGTGGCAATGGCGGGTCCAATCGTGGTGGTGGCCGTAGACAGCAAGGTGGCCGTGGGCGTGGTGGTCGCGGTCGCGGACGCAACAGTGGTGGCAATCAGGTTCAGTGCCAGATATGTAGGCGGACTGGTCACGAGGCTCATGTATGCTATAACCGGTATAATTCCTCACCTCAGGCCAATCTAACATATCAAGATAATTCAGATGTTGGTACTCCTTAGACATGGATCCCGGATACAAGGGCAACTAATCATGTTACTCCGGACATTGCTGCTTTGACCACCTCAGAAGAATATGTTGGCAATGACACCTTGCGTGTCGGTGACGGTATGGGTTTATCTATTAGTCATGTTGGCCATGCTTCTTTTAATACCCCTTCTAGATCATTCACATTGTCTGATATACTTCACGTTCCACGTTTGTCTAATTCTTTATTATCTGTTCAGAAGTTTGCATCCGATAATAAAGTCTTTTTTGAGTTTCACCCCTATTTTTTTGTTGTGAAGGATATCAATACCAAGGAAATACTTCTTCGGGGCAATAGTTCTGGGGGACTATACACACTTCCATTACCTAGTTCGTCTCCGTCAGTGTTTCTTTCCGCTCGTGCCTCGGCTTCCACTTGGCACAATCGTTTGGGTCATCCTCATAACCGTGTTCTTAGCCATATACTTCGATCTTGTTTAGTTAGGGGATCTCGTGATAATATTCGTTGTACTAATTCTTTATGCAATGCGTGTCAATTAGGCAAACCTGCCCGTTTTCCCCTCCCTCGTGTTGCTTCCTCTAGTTCTCATGTACTGGATCTTATTTACACAGACATTTGGGGTCCTGCGCCCACTTTATCTACATCTGGCTTCCGTTACTTTGTGATCTTTGTGGATGACTATTCTCGTTATACATGGTTCTTCCCTATGAAATTAAAGTCTGATCTCTATGTCATCTTTGATAAATTTCGTACTCTTGTTGAACGGTCCTTTAATTGCAAAATAAAGGCCATTCAGTCTGATTTAGGTGCTGAGTACAAAAAGTTGCATTCTTCGTTTGTTCAATTAGGAATTCAACATAGACAATCATGTGCCTATACACATGAACAGAATGGTCGTGTTGAACAAAAACATCGTCACATTGTTGAAACTGGCCTGGCTCTTCTAGCTCATGCCTCTGTTCCTTTGAAATTTTGGGATTTTGCCTTTGAGACTGCTGTCTATTTAATTAACAGAATACCATCTTCTGTATTAAATAACTCCAGTCCTCATGTCCTGTTACATAAATCCCCTCCTTCCTATCTTTTTCTTCGTGTCTTTGGGTGTTTATGCTACCCTCATCTTCGACCATATAATCGTCATAAGATGTCATACAGGTCTTCTCCATGTGTCTTCCTAGGTTATCCTGAGTCATTTAGGGGGTACAGATGCATGGACTTACATACTAATAAGATTTACACATGCAGGCATGTCAGATTTGATGAAGAAGTTTTTCCCTTTGCTATTAAAACTTCTTTGCAGGATCTATCTACTCCGTTTTCTGGACCTTGGGCGGAATCTGTTCTTAGTCACAGCACACCTATTCCTGCCGTGTCCAATGATGAGCCGCCAGAACCGCCGCTACCTGCTTCATTCGAACCAGCCGTGGATCCAGGACAGGCTGCCTCGTCGGGTGATCCTGTGGAGCCTGTTGCTCGCCGGCGAGGCCGTCCACGTGGGCGGTCCATCAGGCCCAATGTCCGTACTCACTCTATGGCCACTCGCAGCAACGCAGATGCTCCTCTTTTTGCTCTAGTAGCTCAGGTGCATCCCACGGAACCCACATGTCACTCTCAAGCTGTCAAATATCCTGAGTGGCGTGAAGCCATGGACCAAGAATTCAATGCTCTCCTGCATAACCACACATGGTCTCTAGTTCCACCCACTGCAGGTATGAATATTATTGGCTATAAATGGGTGTTTCGTACGAAGAGAAAGGCTGATGGTGCTATTGAAAGGCATAAAGCCAGGCTGGTTGCGAAAGGTTTTAATCAGGTTCCAGGTCAGGACTTCTTCGACACTTTTAGTCCAGTGGTAAAACCTACGACTGTAAGACTCCTTCTATCTCTAGCTTTATCATCTGGGTGGTCTATCAAACAGCTAGATGTTCATAATGCTTTTCTGAATGGTAATTTGGCTGAAACAGTTTATATGTAGCAACCCCTTGGTTATATTGATGCTAACTTCCCGAATCATGTTTGTTTGTTAAAAAGATCTCTGTATGGGTTAAAACAAGCTCCCAGAGCTTGGTTTAATCGACTACATACGTTCTTACTATCGGTTGGCTTTCAAGCATCCAAGACAGATGTCTCTCTGTTCTATTACTCTAAAGACTCTGCTTTGGTTTATCTATTGGTGTACGTGGATGACATTCTTGTAATGGGAAGTGATCAGGGTATTATGTCTCTGCTCTTGTCCAAACTGTTTGCTACATTCAAAATCAGAGATCTTGGTGAACCAAATTTCTTTCTGGGTATTGAAACAGTTAAGAGTAACAATGGGATTATTTTATTTCAACAACGGTATATGAATGATATTTTAAAACGGGCTGGAATGTCTGCATGCAAACCCCTTTCTACACCTATCTCTGTCTCGAAAACTGTCCCCTTTAATTCAAATCTATATGATGACCCCACACAGTACAGGAGTCTAGCTGGAGCACTGCAATATCTCACTGTCACACGACCTGACCTATCCTTTGCAGTTAATCAGTTATGCCAGCATATGCATGCTCCCACCATATCACACTGGGAGCAGCTCAAACGGGTACTCAGGTATGTTAAGGGAATAGTTTATCATGGTTTACGCATACGACGGTGCTCATCTAGAGACATTCATACTTTCTCTGATTCTGATTGGGCTGGTTGTCCTGACGATCGAAAATCCACGAGTGGTTTTGCTGTTTTCTTGGGGAGTAATCTTATATCATGGGTTTGCAAGAAACAGAGAACTGTTGCCAGGTCATCCACTGAGGCTGAATACAAAGCTCTTGCAGATGTTTGTGCTGAGGTTCTATGGATTATGTCATTACTGCGTGAGATACAGATTCCGGCTATTTCCATTCCAAAATTATGGTGTGATAATCTAGGAGCTACATATATGAGTGCCAATCCAATCTTTCATGCGCGCACCAAGCATGTAGAGATTGATTATCATTTTGTTCGTGATCGAGTAGCTTCGGGCGATATCCAAGTCAACTTCATCTCCACAAAGGATCAACTTGCTGATATCTTCACCAAAGCTCTGCATGGACCTAGATTTTCTTCCTTAAGGGACAAGCTACAGGTTACTAGTATACACTGTGCTTGAGGGGGAGTATTAGGACTCTATGTATATGAGTCTGTTTAGAACTTCTTATTCTTGTCACACTGTGACTCTCTACTTCTTATCATTGTCACACTGTGACTCTCTATTCTATATATTCACATCATCTGATCGCATTGTAATTAAGTTCAGTAAATACAATACTATCAGTTCTAATCTGTACTTCTGTATCATAAATATATCATTCCAACTGATATTCATACTGCAAACATATTCTCGAGGAGAAAAAAAAAACAAAACAGCAGTAAAACATATATATTGCATAATATATAATTCAAATATATATCATATGCAAATTTATCAACTAGGCAGAGATTAAACATGCGCTGATACCAAATGTTAGATTAATTATATAACCATAATATTTGTCATAATCTAACCTCATAGCGGAAGCGATAGGATCAAGCATACCTCCAGCCATAGTTGATACCTTCCTTGTATTTCTTTGTGAATAGCATGATATTCTGTTGTAACTAGTATTCTTGTGTTGATGTCCAAATGGTAGTACCAACTTCAATAGAGTAACAATGTGACAATGTCTCCCACTTGATCTCCGGACAATATAGATGGTGTATTTCAGGTATTCCGGAGCAGTGGCAGGACCTAAACTTATATAGCCTTATATGCCATCAATATAGGCTTTGTAACGGAAAGCGTTACATCCGTTTCAAACCACAACATAATGGTCATAAATGACCTATTAAATTTGCACCACTTAATGGTGACATAATGGAAAATGTTACATTACGATAATAAGAAGAAAAAAAATATTTTTGAAGCCATTGCATCACCGGTTCTTCCGAAGAAAGGAAATCATTATTGTGTGGATCGTGGTTCACACTGTTATGTGAAACTAGTAATTCACCCGCGCGATGCACGGAAAAAAATTACGTTATTATAAATATAAATAAAAAATAGAAAAACTAAAATATTTTAATTATTTAATATAATAATATTTTTGAGCTTCCATTGGTCAAATATTTATTATTTTTATAGAATACAAAATTACAATTAAAATTAAAATTATAATTATAATTATAATTTTGTATGGTTAATATAATCTCTAATTATGTGCATATTCAAATAAACTTATAGAGATAATTTACATAATTACATTGATTTATTCTTAATTGTATTTCATCTATATTATAATTTTCACAATACAAATAATAACTAAGATAATTACATTTGGAAAGCAAATTTCAAATTTTGTATGTGTAAATTTAAACTCTAATTGAACATATTTTTTATATGATTATATAATTTATAGCTATTTTATTTTTCAAAAGTATATTTTTTATATAATTATATAATATATAGCTATTTTATTTTTTAAATGTTGTGCTTTTTTTTTTTTTATAATAATAAAGGATGTTGTGGCATTAATTGTAACATTAATTATTTCCCAAACCATATAGCTTTATTATATAAAGGATATGGTCTAAAAATAAAAATTATATTATTTTAAATCATAAAGTACACGCATTATTCTAACACATAAAATACATTATTTTAATTCATAAAATACATTATCTTATCTAAGAAATTTCATTTTTCTAACACATAAAGTACATTATACATTATTTTAACTCATAAAATATATTATTCTAACACATAAAATATATTATTCTAACTCATAAAATATATTATTTTATTTATGAACGCATATAAAGTACATTATTCTAACACATAAAATATATTATTCTAACTTATAAAATATATATCATCTTACTCTAAAATATTTATTATTCTAATACGCTTGCGCTGCAAAGAATTTTGGTTTTAACATTAAAATTTCATCGTTTTGGACCAAGTAGTGTAATTAGCAAGATATGTACGTATAAGGCGGTGCATATCTGGAATAGAGTTTA